CAAACCTGAAGTGTATCACCAACATTTTCCTCTTCAGAGTTATTTTGAGGCTTGTTCTCCCAAACACTCCTCCTTCCCCCCCCCCCCCACGCTTGTTATTCTGGTTGATCCTCGCCTCAAGCCGCAGAAATGGGCACGCTGGGGACATCGGCTTTCGCTCTCTGGAGACGTGCGGGGATCGGGAGGGTGATGTAATCAGATGACATCAGCAGGTTTTGGGGGTTCTCGGTTTGGTCTTTGGGAGGATTTAGGGTGGTTTTACAGGAAGAGGCATTTCCTCTCCACTAAGCTTGAATTCTTGGGTAGGGAGCGAGCAGCAGGGTCCTCCTGTGTGTGCTCAAACACCCACCATCATGACAACCTCTGAAGGGAGATGCAGGCAGGGCCTGCCTGCAGCTGGGCGGAGTGGATGGAGCTGTACTGTATTCCATGAGGACCGGGGTAGGCAGTAGGAGGAGACAGTTAACACATGGGGATGCTACTACAGATTCTGTCAACAGTAGTGCCCCTATTCCCACCCCTTCATCCTCTTGCCAGTTGCATTTTGGATGTTCCCTCTTGATTAGTCCTTCCTGTCCCAACAGGATTCTAATTCACTAGTCAGACCCGTGCACCCTATAGCTTTCCGCCTATTGTGAGATCCTGTAACACTGTACAGCCTTGTGCTCCATAACAGTGCAACTTGTTTCACGGCAACCCAGGGGTTACCTAGTCATTGCAAAAAAACAATTATTTTTTTATGCAGCACAGTCAAGCACTGTTAAAAAGCTCTCGTGCATTTCTTGTAGTTGATGATAGTTTGAAATGGTGGGAGGGAAATAAAATAAATCCAGTGATAGTGTGGTGATTGAAGCTTGGTAAATGGGTTTTTTCCAAACCTGAAGTGTATCACCAACATTTTCCTCTTCAGAGTTATTTTGAGGCTTGTTCTCCCAAACCCTCCCCCCACCCCCAAATCTGGAAACATACAAGTTCTGCAAGTGTAGTAAAGCCAGATCAAGCTGTAAATTGGAAAGAGAATTGTGAATCGTAGCTTAGAGAAATCAAATATAAAAATGTGTGTAGTGTTTCTTTTTTTGTTTTGTTTTTTGTTTTTGTTAAAGGGAAACATTTCTGTATAACCCTCTTGTCTGCTCACTCCTGGTGAAAGAAGGAAGGCAGTGATGATGATTATTAATTTGTATGATTGTAGTGTGTAGACGCCCCTATCATGCTGCATAAAAATAGTGAGATAGAGTCCATGCTCCAGAGAGCTTACAGTCTAGATAGATAAGACAGACAAAGGGTGGGAAGGCAAGTAGGTATGGGGAAGTGAAGTGACTTGCCCAGCGTCACACAGGAGGTGAGTAGCATTAGAACCCAGGTTCCCTGACTCCAAGGCTAGTGTTCTATCTACTAGACCCCATCTTACATTTCAACATGTCACTCTGCAGCAGAGTGTGGTTTTCCACTGTTGAAAAGCGGGCCTGGCCTCATAAATACACAGATACTTGCATATATGTCCCTGTGTTTATATGGAGAATATAGCATGGGCCTTGCATGGAAGAGCACACTTAATTATGAGTTTGTGCCAGCCGAATTACTCATGAGTGGTGGAGTGAAACCAAGCTGTGAAAACAAAGCAATCTGCTGAAATGAGGGTAAACATCTAAATATGTATCAGTCAGTTAATATCCTTATTTAACCAGGTTAAACCCTTCCAGAACAGGTTTTCATTTACAGTGCTGACCTGTTTAAGACAACATCACAAATGCCGGCAGATAACAAAAAATGTACCCAGCCTGTACTTTTATGCCACTGTACCAGCTCCTCAAATTTAATACAAAAGCCAATTATATAAATACCCTCATAGAATAATAGTCTTCAGAGAAGGCAGTAAGAAATGACATTACAAGTATGGTATCATTCAGTAAAAAGCTTGCACAAAATGTTATCTTAATGCCAGTGTCAGGTGCATCGTATGACTGATCTAATATGTCTGAGAAATCAGACAGAATGGTTTAAGAGAATATCGTACTATATTTGGTTTAGACCCGTGCTACCTTAGGACAGTGGTCAGGGAAGTAGTTTGTGTTTGTACATTGCCTAGCACAGTGGGACCTGGCTCCGTGAATGGAGTCCCTAGGTGCTACCATAATACTGCTAATAAATCGCAATAGACTTCCTTTCTTGGAGAGAATGAGTGCTTTCCAAGGAACCTCCTGTTAATTGCGAAGTTTGGGCCTGAGCTTGTGCCACTGAAGCCGTTCCCTTCAGTGGGCACGGGGTCAAGTCGTTTGAGAGGTAGGGTGGTGGGTTAAGGCAGTGGACTGGGACTCAGGAGATCAGAGTTCCATTTCCAGCCTTGATTCAAGTCATTTAATCTCCCTCATTTTGCCAGCTGTGAAATGGAGATGCCACTACTTTCCTGCAGAGGGTGTCCTGAAGGTAAATCCATAAGTACTTGAGGGGGGCAGTCTTGGATGATGAGCTATCCTGTAAGTATCTAGATAGAAGATATTGCCTTCTCACTGTGAGGGAGATCAGGTAGAGGTGGTGACATGGCTAATGAGACACAAGCCCTTGTGCAGAAGGGAAGATCTCTGGTGTAAACATTCCTACAGGAGAAATGAAGCAATTTGTATAAAGAATGTGTTGAGCAGTGAGCCAAGAAGGGCAAGTGCAGCTGATGGAGACTCTGCCAAAGCCTGAGGGCTCACTGTGGGTGGAATGCAGGTGAAACTGAGCACCTGGCTGAGTGGAGTGGATTGGCAGGATCCCTCTGAACCTGCCTCTCTGCTTGTGAAGTCCGTGTGACTTTGTTTGGGGTGGTTCCCTGTGTCCCTGGAGGTTGGCTTCTGATGACTCAAGGTTGTTGTGTAGCCCAGTGCTCTTTGAAGTGGTGGTGGTGTGTTTAAAAGTCTATTAATGTGGGCAATATCCTTTTTAAACTGGGAGGGTGAGAACCAGTTCTTACAGTTTCTCTCTCACCCACATGAAATCGCTGAGCTGTTTGGGAGTGGAAGTATGGATTAGCTGGTGGATCCAGTTCTCTTCATGTGTTTGAAAGTACAGTTTGTGCCTTCACATCCAGCTCTGTCCCTTTCCTTCCACGGCCACAATCAAAGGGTGACTCTTGGAAATGGGTCTGTACTGATCATTAAAAGTATATATTTGGGTCAAGTGTGTATGAGGGATGCTGTACAAAAGACAGGACGTGTGTGTGTGTGTGTGTGTGGATGTGTGTAAAGGTGTGGTTTGAACATAAGTCTGGACATCTGAAATTGTTTGAATTCAGTGTAATGAATCAGTTCTCCCCAAAATAATAATTGGCCTGAAAATCATGAGATTTGAAAAAGATTGTGCATTGTTGGGTTGGGTTTTCATTTACTTTCTGGTTCTTGAACCTTTAGGTTTCACATTTTCAAGCTATTATCTGAAATCAGGATGGCTGGAAACTTAAATGGAAATAAGGTGCAAGGAAAACCCTCAGATATCAGGAGTGTATGTGACATCGTCACTGATTCCCTCACAATCTAGGGCAAATCA